CAAAAAAAATCGTTTAAGGGTCCAAATTCAGCCTCAGTTTTGGAAATTTCAGAAAAATCCTCATAGCAGCCTTTTGAGCTGCTGTCATGCCTTGCGTGCGCCCAGCGCGAGCACGCACACATGGCGCTGCTTTGCCTACACGTGCACAGCCCATGCGCGTGCATGCTTCCCTTGCGCACGCAGCGCCCATGCGCGCGCGTGCATGAAGGGACTGCTTGTTGCCCTTTTGCTTCGTCGTCGTCAAGTTTTCAAATGCTTGTTTCTCTTTCATCCGGACTTCGTTTTTGGTGATTTTTGAGTCTAACTTGACTAATTTTTCGTTGTCTATCCAATGGTGTGCTTGGTTACACTTGGATCTTTTTAAAAAATTACCAGTTTGCCCATAGGGCTTTATTTGTCCGTTGTTCGTTAGGCCATTTCTTCTTCGTCCGGATTCTGAATCAAGCGATTTTTGAGTTTAATTTGATTAATTTTTCGTTTTCTATCCATTGGTGTACTCGGTTACACTTGGATCTTTTTAGAAATTATCATTTTTTCCTTGGGGCTTAACTTGTCCAGTTTTCTTTTTAAATTGCTTCCGTTATGCCTTTTTTTGAGTTCCGTGACTTCATGGGAAGTCACGGATGTGTCTTGGGAATGATGTACATTTCTAAGGACGTTGCTTCCATGTTAAAAGACTATTTTGCTCTTGGGGGCTTATTTGATCTTTTTTTGATCTTTTTGTTCCACGTTGTTCTCGTTGAGTTCCATGGCCTCACGGAAGGTCATTTTGGCGTCTTAGAGGTGCATTGCAGCTCTAAAAACTTGGTTTCTATTTTTACTTCTGCATTCGGATCCATTATCGGGTTGAACTTCAATTTATCACAGGACGCATTGGCTTGAAAAACCAGGTCTGTCACATTCATTCCTTTACATCACAGGTACTCAACATAACGCCCCCCTCAAATGAAGTAGACTGGGTGGAATGGGTACCAGGTCCTACAGATACATTGTCTCTGAGTCATACTTTCCAACATTTTTCTCTTCCCTCCCCAATGTTCCCTTGGCATCATATTGCTTGGTTAAAGAAGCATATACCAATGGTTTCATTACCTGGCTTGCAGTTAGAAGAAAACTTTGTACTCTGGACACAAAACCAATGAGTCACAAGCACTATACGAATGCTTGTTTCCTATGTTTAGCAGATTGTTAATCACTTAATAATCTCTTCTTCAATTGTAAATTCTACAAAGTCATATGGGATTTCATTCAAAATGTTGCTGGGTTCTACATACTTCCTAGCAGATGGTATGACCTTGTTCTTTGGTGCTCTAACAATTGGATCTCAGACAGATTCCTAGTACACAAGTTACTTCTTTTTGGAGCAATCTACTTCATTTGGATGGAATGCAATGCTAGAGGCTTTCTGTAATAAATCATCTACTCCTCATCACATTGTTAGACTTATTAAGGGATGCATTAGAGCCAGACTTGTATCAATCAAATTGAAGAATGTGAGCGAGCTGAGTCAAATGGGAAGCGAGAAGCACCTGCTGCAACTTTTCCTTCAAGGATGTTCCTTTGCTGGTTTTCATTCAGGGCTCATGGACAACTAAGATTCTAGTACTAGATGGTTTTTCCTTTGCTGGTTTTCATTCATGGCTTTCCTGAGTACTGTGGTTGCTTGAAGCAGGTGTTGCAGGCTTGGTGTGGGTGTATTTGCTAGTTTGGTTGCTTGTTTCCTTTTTTTGGGTTTCTGTTAGGTAGCCTTTTTGGCTTTGTTTCTTGCCTTTGGCTTGATTGTCCATGTTGGACTTCCCATGTATATTCTCTCTTTTCTTTTATATAAAGCTTACCCATTCAATGAAAAAAAAAAAAAAAAAAAGGCCTTATACAAACCCTATGTAGTTAGATGATTTATGGTGCGAGAGATAGATAAAGAGAGAAAAAATGTGATAGAGCTCTCATTGTAAACACCCATCATTGTTGACAGTGAATTTTTTCGATGCAATGGTAGACTTAGGCAAAACTATGTATATCTTAGTGTTGTTGTGTGATTGTTTTTTATTTTTTTTAAAAATTAAAAATAAAAGGCAATTGTTTTTCTTCTTAATGGCTTGTTTACGCTGATTATTCCCCAACATGATAAGTACTTGCAAAACTATTTCTTATAACAACTCTTTGGTGATAATTTGAAAATAGTATCTGAAAGAAAATGAAAAAAGAAAAAGAAAATTACTCGTTCTCATTTTGCGCGCATTTTGTTCTTTTATAACACCATTAGTAAACAAAAATATAGAACTTCTAATAAAATTTTTTATTTTATTATTTTCTTACAAAAATACTTTGACGTCCAAATAAAAATTTCTGGATTGTCCCTGATTGGAGAGAGCTTAATTCTAGGGAGAGAAGCTCTAGTCCATAGCTCAGCATCACATTGGCCAAAAAAAAAAAAAAAAAGATCAGGCATATAAGATCTTTACTGAATTCAATAATACCAAAAAAAAAAAAAAAAAAAAAAAAAAAAAATAAAATAAAATTCTATACTTAATTACCTAATCTTTGTATAGAATTGAACAAAATGTCACCCCAAACCTATCCATGCACTATGTATTTATAGCTAGCTACTAAGCTTAAAAGGAATATGTGTTGGGATAAATCAAAAGGCCTTTGGCGTAGCCCGTATAGGCTCTTCATCTTCCAACAAAAAAAAAAAAAAGAAGAAAAAAATTCTGAGTTCAGACGTGAACAAAAGAATGTGTGTTTTATTTATCATTCAAAAAAAAAAAATGTGTTCGAATTATCAATTAGTGTAAATCAAGTACCGAGTGACAAATTCTTATAACATAATATAATAAATTATCTATATAAATATGTTTATGTTTCGACGACATTCATGCGGCTAGTTGACACTTGACAATGACCTATTCTTCAAATTAATGAATTTTGTTCGTTTGACAGAAGAAATGGAAACCAAATTAAAATAATTTAAAAAAAAAAAAAAACAGAAGCAAAAAGAGGGAATTAAACCCTACGTGAATCAAACACGCAACCTTCTGATCTGGAGTCAGACGCGCTACCATTGAGCCAATGATCCACTTATTACACTAACCTTAAATTAGAATGATAGTCAATGGTATATATTTAATCCATCCAATAGTAGATACTAGAGTCCCATAAAAAAGGTGTAATTAAGTGGAACTGTGTAGGCTTTATATGCCATCTTTCATGAACCCGACCAATACTTTTAAACCACTTATAGCACAATTGTAATAGTTTTTTATTTTTAGTTCTTGGTGGTTCTTGAGGACTTCTAGATACGATGTAACAAAAATATGGTTAAGTGTGGAAAATATTTTTATTTTTTATTTTTTATTTTTTATTAATGTTTACTATAATGTTATGTTTGATTGGAGGGAAGAATTAAGGAGGGATAAACTAACTTTTTTTTGTATTTGGTTGGAAGGAAGGATTGAGGAGGGATAAACTAACTTTTTTTTTGTATTTGGTTGGAGGGAAGGGAAAAGAGGGAGGAAGCAAGGAGGGATGCTTCATCCTTTTTTCCTTTGTATTTTTCTATTCCCCAAAATTGGGAGGAAGATGAGAGAGATAAGTACTAACGAACATAACAATGGCTTTTTCATTTCTAACCTTCCTAAAAATTTGGGATAGGTATAAAATTTTGAAATTTTTAGATAATGAGGGCATATTAGTAAAAAAAATATATAAAAATCCTATTTCCCTTCCTTTCAACCAAACAAAAAAAATGTGTTACCCCATCTGACATTTTTACTATCCATTTTGTTACCTCATCTATCATTTATACTATGCATTTCATTTAACTAAACAAAAAGTGAGAAAGACACATTCCGTTTTCTAGGGATGTCTCGTTCATCCCTCCCCTAATCCCTTCCATCTATTTTTCCATTCTTCCAACCAAACGGAGCATTTATGTACACAAAACACCTACAAAATATCAAATTATTAAAAAAAAAAGGTGAAGCTTAACAAATGAAAGGTAAATTTTGCCCAAATTACCCTTTTATAGACATTTTACAAATTATTTTAAAAAACATGATTATGTGATCAAATGATGAAAAAGGGCACAACCATGAAGGGTGTGATGCACATCATATATAGTATAGTGGTGTTTTCAGCACTGACCCCTTTAAAAATCTACTTTGAGTATTTCAAATCTTTTTGTTGACTTCATATACACACACACATATATATATATATACTAGGTAACAAAAAAAATACACACATATATATATACACTAGTAAAATGTAAAATTATTAATAAAAAAAAATTATACACATCTTTTTAAATGCAAATCATTAAAATCTATATAAAATTATTAAAAATATAAATATTAAACAATTAGAATAAATGACAATAAATCATATTTAAAATTATGTGCTTATATGTTAAGGTTGTATCAATGGCCCTCTACCTTTGATCATGTATGTGAGATTATGTGCATAACTTGCTATGGAAATTGCTAACCATGTCAATATTAATGCTTCACTTGTGCTTCTCTGTTCATATGCACATTAAATGTTTGATTAAATGCTCCAATGAATGAATGTATTGATTTATGTTGATAAAGTATGATTATCATTATAATGTGATGTTCCTCCATGTATATTTGATTGATTATGAGGTTCATTACACCCATGACATTGTTATAGAGTGAGTGTGCGGGTTAGTTGGGAGGTGGAGGATAATTTCTTAATTTTTTGAAAAAAAGTTTATGTAAAGTTAGTGACACTACAAGAAAAGTGAATTTTTACGATATAATTTTTACAGGAATTTTTTATTTTGCTCATAGAAGTTACTTTTTACGAGGTTTATAAGAGGTTACTTGTAATTGTGACATAAAAAGCTTTCATGGTTGTTAATAAAATTTTCTTAAAAATATTAAAGAACGATTAATATTTACATATATTTAAATATTTTTAATAGAATATTTTCCTATGAAAAAAAATAAATAAGTAAACACTCCCGCCCACACTTTTCCACTTCCGCGCCAAACTCCAATCGTCAGCCAAAAGCTCACATGTGTCACACACACACACACAAACTACCCTCACTCTTTCATTCCCCTCTTTCATTCCCACGAGCTACTCCACCATTGTTGCGCAAACTGTCCTAATGACTGACAAAACCCAGTCTCTCAAAATGCCCTAATCCTTTTCTTTCTTCCATTATTTCTGTTAAAGAAGCAGGATCATTTACCCCATCTGCGCTTGAAGTTCTATCTCCAATCTCTGCCTCGGTTAGATAGGTTTTCGGTCTTTCTTAATCAAGATAGGTCATACGCGATATCATCTGGTCTCACTTCAAGAAATCAGAATTCAGCAGAAGGTCCGCTGTGTCAAGGCAGCGTCTTCTGGTTCGACAGGAAAAGGAGAGTTGAGCGATCTCAACCAATTTCTACCTTGGCCAACACAGAGCTATTTGTTCAACCCTCTCTCTACTCTCTAGACCCGAGGATCTGGACTTACCTTCATTCTTCAGGTAATCTACAATCCCTATTTCTCAAACATTTTAAGGGTTTTCTTCAATCCCTATTTCTTAAACATTTTTAGGGCTAACACATGCATATTTTTTTCTCTGGTTTATTGTCGATTTTATTGGCTGAATTTGCTTTGGTTGCGACTGGATTTGGTTTTTTTGTTTTCCATTTGGTTATTGATTGGGTTTCTCTTTTTATTTGCATTCATGTAATATATATATATCCTCCTCTGCTTGAATCAGAAATTAATTCGAACCCTCGGCGTATGGCTCCCTTTGTCGGCCGTCTCCCTTTTCGTGAGTGTCCAATTTTTGCTTCTTAATTAGTTATGCAAGAAGGTTACTGTATATAGTGTTGTACAACTCCAACTCCAACTCTAACTCTTACAATTGAATTTGTTTGATTTATCTGTTTCTTTTTCTTTGTCAATTTGATGGTTTTGGGTTTGATTAGTTATGCCTTCTCTGTATTTGATGAGTTGACTCTGACACTGTGAGTTGCTAATGTTAGCTGTAAAAGAATTGATGGGTGAATTTAGTGGGTTTCTTCAATTTATGAACCATGCCAAAGCAGTTACACTCGTAGCCGGCTTTCTTAATGAGGTACTGCTCATGAACACACAATTGCTTAATAATAGATATATCTCTTAGACAACAACTTAACAATTTAAAGCTGCCTTTAGTTGTGGTTCTATTTTAGGTGCTTTTTAGCCGAGGTTCGCTATGGTACATGTTGGTTATTGTGCAAAACTTGGTTGTCTAATCTTTTTCTAAGAAGGATAATAAAATGCTTGCATTGGCTTCCTTGTTTGGGATATTGCCTAATCTGAAGACCCTGACCATGAGATGCTTTGATTTATACCCTTTTGATTATGATGAAGTAATATTATTATTCAACAGTTCTTTGCTTTTCTTCTTGTTTGTCTCATTTTTTTTGTTTTGTTTTTGATATCATTGCTTTTTCATGTTTCAGTTAAGCGACTTGTTGGCTTTAGAGCAATGCAAGTTTGATATAGAGTACTGGGAGTCTCAAGATGTTGCATTTATTCATCAATTATGCTATTTTTGTTGCTTTGGAAATTCTTTCAAACTGTTTTTGTTTATATTTGTTTCACTTTTGTGGGTTCATTTAATTATAACTGTATTATAGCTGAATTTACTTATGCTAGGGTAATTTACTGATGCAAAGATACTAATTTAATATGCCTGTTGGTTTTATATCTTAAGCAGTATTAATGATTTTAAAATAAGTTGCCGGTGACCAAATTAGTTAACAGAAAATGACTATGGTTGTTTGGACCTATGTCAGGTCATGCTGTGAAGTGTTCTCTATTTGTGCAAATTTTACTTTTTTTTGTTTGAAGTACCCTTTATAATTTAGCTTTAGGTATAGTTTATTAATTATTACTATACATTATTTTGTATGTTTGTTTGATTATAGTTGACTCTCAGAGAACCAACTCTTTTCCCTCTAAGAAAATAGATGTTCCATGCAGTGTAATTGTTGAAGCCCTGAAGGTGAACAGTCTGCAGAAGCTTTGCTCTTCCTTGGAACCTATTCTTCGCAGAGTTGTAAGATAAATGAATATACATTTAGGCACTTCATAAACTGTCCTTTTGACTGTTGATAATTTATGGTGATCACCTTTTATGCTTCATTTGTTTCATCATCACTCTGGGAAGCATGACCTTTTTTTACTTGTGCGTTTTATGATACTTTCTTATTTTTAATATCAGCCACTTTCTTTTCTTTTTTCTTTTCCAAATATATTTCAGTATATGTCCCCATGTTTGTGGAAAACTAGTGGGTTCAGGATAAGGAAAGTTCTTTTATTGTTACAATCACAAACACACAATGGAGATAGAGTAGTGAATCTTCAATGACATATGTCATATTATCTAGAGGTTGTAATAGTAGGACAAAATTTCGAGGTAAGTAGAAAATCCTGAGGTTCTAAAGAGATAATATGACAATTTAATGCCAAATTTAACAGTACTAAGTTTTTTATTTTTTTTTTTAAAAAAAATAATATTTTGCAGATAATGTTTTTGAGAATAATGGACATTTACAAATAAGAAGGACCTTTACCTGCTTACTGAAAAACTAATGAAGTAAACAAGAATCTTTACCTCTAAAACTTGATGTGATGTTGGAGTGTCTAAACCCACTTAGTGAATCCCAATCAATGGTAATCATGCACTGTTTATCCAGATCAGGATTTAATTTATATTCGGAACTTGGTGAAGAAATGACCTGCAAGCATGTTTGATTTTTTGAGTATGCTTATTTTCAGTCAGTTTTTATCTATTAAAATTTATTTTTAGATGGGCGCTTCTGTTGGAAGGAGTGAAACTAATAAAATTTATACATACACACACACAAATATATATAACAATATGAATTAATTCTTACCCTTCACCATAATTGTAGACCTCATGTGACATTTTGAAGAAATCAGCCCCAAACCTCCCCTTTATGTACCCACTCCCAGCTTGCTTGGTGTTGTTCAAAAATTTCTTGTGCTTTTTGTTTGATTTGTTGTATAATATCACTTCTGCTTTAATGAAAAATATGTAATATTTATTTTCGGTTTATAGAGGATGAACATGATGTGAACGCTTTTAAGAATCTGACTGGAAGATTTTATGCTGACTAGTTCTTTTAATTTCATCTTTTTATCTATTCAGTTTGGGTGTTGCATCTATATGCATTCCTCCTCCTGTATTTACTTGTTACCAGATTGTAATTTCTCATAATCTTAACTTATTGTTCTTTGTGCTATCTAACAATAGTTGATAATCAACTCTGCAGGCCATCTTGGCATGTTTACTTTTGAAATAATGACAATGTTCATGAATAAGGGTGAACAGATGGCTTCTTTGAAATAGTGCAACCTAATAATTAATTTTTTATTGCTAATCTTGATATTGTTTAAACTATGGAGAGTCATGGTATGAAATTGATTTTCTCATAAAAAGGATATTGAAACTGTACAAATAAAAAGTGAAAATGTGTAGTTGAAAATATTTTACTAGCATTAGAATTTGCATTTTAAAAGTTGAATGTATGACCCCTATGTCTTTATTTGTAGCAAGGAACATGAATAATTTAAACAATTAGAAACTTTAATATTGTTCTTTTTTGTTTCTACGGGATAATTTTAGCTCGAATGAAGTTTAGGTGATGAGAATTGTGTTTATTTTTCATATATATATATATGTACCATGGAATAATCATATATTCCATAATTTACTTTTTGTGACAGGTTCCCTATTGAATAATTAGGAAAGTAGTGATGGATAAAGAATGGATGCACATCTCTTACAGGTTATTATACGTAGTAGAATGTGTTTTTTAAAGTTTAATCTTTTACACTAATTTTATATTTAATTAAAAGTTAAAGCTTTAATTTTATAGAGTTGATCCAAAGTATATAAAAGGAGCACGAAGGTTTGCCGATTGGGCTCAAGAGATTGCAGGGCATCCAGACAAGATTTTATGCCCTTGTAATAAATGTCGAAATTCACTACATCAACATTTTGACACAGTATATGGTCATGTTGTGGAACATGGAATGGATCCAACATACACGACTTGGTACTTTCATGGGGAATCAACTTTTCAAAGCATGGGAAAGAGTTGGACTGATTACAAATCACGCCTTACAGCCGATATAATTGAAGCGGAAGGTGACACAGAAGTCATTAACTCATTAAGACCTAGTAGTGTAAAATCAATTGAAGAGTGGCAACAGTTTGTGAGTAATCGACTCTCTGATGACCACAAAGTAAGTACAACGTTGATCAAATTATGTTCTCTTGTAACTTTCTTCTTTAAAAAATAGTAATTATATTATTTATTTATAGGCAAAGAGACAAAAATGCGAAGACTTGCGAAGTGTGCAAAAGTTACCACACACAAGAAGTCGTATGGGGTATGCTCGTCTAGAGCATAAAATGATAAGGGTTACCAACTCTTATTGTTTATTGTGATTGAATAGTAGTACTAATATGAAAATGGTGTTTGTGGTTGATTTATGCTCACTCATTATTTATTGTCTTGTGTAGAAAAAAGAAAGTAATGCGCCCAACTCTATATCAGGAGTCGATATGCAGATTGAAGGTCACTTGAGGAAGGGTAAGGAACCTTTGAATGATGCAATAGGAGTGGCAGTGGTAATATATCTTACGTACCTATTTTGTTATTTTCATGTATTTCGTTTACAAACATTGATAAATTATGGAATTTTAGAAAAAAGTGAAAGATTACACCCAAACCCGACTTGAAGGCACAAGCTCTCTTCAAGATGGTGTTTGTGGTTCATTTATGCTCACTCATTATTAAGTTTATTTTTTATTTTTTAATTTTTTGACAAGTATTTATGCTATTTCAAATAACTATAGATATGATGTTGTAAACTCACGTCTTTTGCATTATTTATTGTCTAGTGTAGAAAAAAGAAAGTAATGCGCCCACTTCTATATCAAGAGTCGATGTGTGGATTGAAGGTCACTTGAGGAAGGATAAGGAACCTTTGAATGATGCAATAGGAGTGGCAGTGGTAATATATGTTACGTACCTATTTTGTTATTTTCATGTATTTCGTTTGCAAACATTGATAAATTATGGAATTTCAGAAAAAAATGAAAGATTACACCCAAACCCAACCTAAAGGCACAAGCTCTCTTCAAGATGATGGAGTCACCCACGTATTTGGCGTGGAACGTCGAGGACGGGTTAGAGGCCTTGGTTTTGGAGCAACAATTTCTAAAATTCAGGGAATTGGTTATCAGAGGGAGCAAGCGAAAAGAATGGAAGAAATGATGAATGAGATAAAAGTTGAAATAATGAATGAGATGAAAGAGATGAAAGCTGAAATGATGAATGAGATGAAAGCTGAATTGATGGATGAGATGAAAGCTTTGTTGGTTAGTGTTACAACTAGTATTACAATTTATAGTGAAGTTAAACTTAATTATATACATATAATTCCTTGTCCATATGTCATTTGAATATAAAGAACTAATTATGTTTAATCCATGTTTTGGTTGAATTGTAGTCCCGAAATGCTTTTATTGTTTCTCAGTCCAATGCTACGCCAAATCTTATTCCAACTAATCTGCAAGGTTTCCTATGTGAGCTGTTACACTTTAATGGATCAGGTGTAGTTGTTGCCAAGGCTGAGATTGCATCAACAGATCCCAATGCACTATCAGATGAATGTGTTCCAGTTGGTCCAGATTGCTGGAAAGTTTGGATTAATGATGTCATTGACAAGGATTGTCCTTTGTATCGAGCAAACAAATCTGGAATGTTTTATCTTTGTGATGCTCGCACAAGCACGGTTATATGGCCTACCAAATATGTGAAAATTCTAGAGGTCAATTGGTCATTCATTAACCTCTCTTTTCTTTTCTTTTCTTTTCTTTTTTTTTCTTTTGAAAAGTAGTAATTAACATATGATTTCTTTGATTTTTTTATATATGTTGGCATTACATTGTTAATTTTTTTCCTCACAGGATCTATTTTCACCGGTTCATTAGGAGCAGAACAAAGCCATTACTTTCGAAGATAAGATATTTAACCCACAACCCACCCATTTATTAATACTTTCTTGTCTCTTTCAGGTATGTCAATGTCTCATGTGTCTAAATATATGTTGTATGTTATATGTATGTGTATATATATTTGTATTCTCTATTTGAAATTGGAATTTTCGTGGAATGTGATGGACATTACTGGATCGTAGTAAATTTTTTATTAGGAAATGTGAATAACAATATACATAACATGACAAACATTAACATTTTAAAGCTAAAATTACCCTTAGCTCTCTGAAGGTTGACTCCTTCACAAGAGAAAGGGAGAAACAAACCTCAGAAAATGTTAGAGAAGTAGTTCTTGGCTTCTTCCGACTTGCGGCTTTGATTGCTGAAATTGCAACCCTAACATTAGTAGCCAGTAGAACTAAGATACTAACATGCTCATGTTTTACCAAAAATCTAGAAACACCCTTTGATCTTCAAGTTTCTGTTACATAGTGTGTTTGTTTGTGTGTGTATCTAGTATTGGACAAGTGGAAATAACTATGTTTTTAAACCAGTTTTATGATAAAACAAGAAAAAAGTAACAGAAAGGAATTTAGACAGAGATATTCATCATTCCTTAAACAAGTCTAATATCTTCTCCTGATTTTAATGTTAGCCTCTCTCTATAAACCAGATCTAGTTTTTATCTCCTCTGTATAAATCTCATGCATCGCTATTTCATCCCTACTGTTGTCACCAAGTCACAATGAGAATTTCTTGCATCCCAATAGTCCAATAGTGGCATCGATGTGGTAGTGCCGACAAGCTGAGGACAAATATATTAGAGAGAAAAAAGGGCCGACGATTAGAAGACAATTATGTTTTGTAGTGAATCATTAACATCTATTCCTCATATTTGTACAATATATACTTGAGTGTACATATATATTGTATTATATGTAGGTATATATAGGAAATAAATGGATGGTTTATTAAATCTCCTACAACTAGTGATACTCTAAGTACAATGATCCTATTATCTTATTGTTCTTCATTGCATAACTTAAAAGTTGGGCCTATGTTATATTAATTTGTAAAACCGCAATGAACTATATAGATGCTATGAAATTTAACAAATTGTTCACAATTATATATAGACGTACTTCTGATAATGTTGGGGCTCTCATGTCATAGCAGCAATAGAAGTTGTTATTTTTTTCTTTGATGTCAAAGTATCAATGTGCCTTAGAGATTTAAAAGAGCATAACAGTTATGTTTCCTATATAAGCTCGATCAATGTTAAAATTAGAAGGTTTGAAGGTCGTTCTCAACTGAAGAAGGGCTGATTTATTTGTCAGTGAAGAAGGGCTGATTTATTTGTAGTTTTTTGTGTTTCTGAAATTTATATGCAATATATATATATATATATATATATATATATATATATATATTGTGATGATGTGGGTCAATAGCTAATTACCTACTGAAAAAAATTAGCATTTAATATTTGCATGCGTATACTGTTTGGAAGTTTATTATGATCTTTATGTTGGTTTTTAAAATTTTAGAAGTTAAATCGTATAAAGTTGTGTGTTGTGATGCCTATTGGATTTTCGTCTTAGTGAGTTGATTTGAAGATGGATTAATTTAGGAATTATTTGTTCTGTTTTTATAGGAATAATCAAACTTACTTTAGGGTTTAAACTCTACGTATGTTCTTGAAAATTTATGTTCATTTTGTATCAATCATTGCATACTCACGAAATTAATTGAAAATACTTCATTTTCTTTTTTTTAAAGCTTTGCCCAGATTTGTATTCTTTAGAAGTTACTCAAAAATATAGTTTTTAAAGTTTTAAATTTGGATTCTAAATGCTTAATGTGTTGGAGAACCTTTTATGTGTTTTGTTTATAAAATTATTGTGTAACTGTTATGTCTTTGGCATTTTAACCTTTCGATCAGCTACTGTGCAATTTTAGCAGAGAAATTTGTTTCGTGATTTTTTATTTTTTGAGTTGAGTAGCAACACAAATTTAGAACACTAGTAATGAGTTGGATATCTTGGGCTGAACCTTACTTACTTTTACTGGAAAAATGAAGCATATCCATGCAATCCAGTAATGAAAAATCCCAAATTTATTTTTTCTTCTACAATTGGTCTGGTTGGTACTATTTGAAGAGCGAGTATGAAAAGCCCAGGCCGGAGTTTGGATCTCTGGCAAAGCATGGGCATGTGGATTGCGTGTTTCTTTTTGTTTTTTGATTGTTGGCTTCTCAAAGTATGGGACTCCATTCTTGATGTTTACACCTTGGTAAATGTTTCAGAGAACATGAAATAGAAAACCAGCATTTTATTGTGTATATGTACTTGGGATATAAGTAGCAGTTGTTTTGCATTTCTGCCTTTATTCTCTAGGTGCCTCTCTTTAGTTCTACTATAAGCCTTCGTATATATTTTCTCTACTAGCAGTTCATGACTTTGTATACATTATTATCATATTAAAATTAAGACTTGTGTGATGTAGGTACGTACTTGAATTTTGTACCATGGACAACAAGGTGGAGGAAGTGTGAAAAATTGGAAGTCAACTTGCGCCATGAATTAATGAACAATGTGAAGATTGACATATTGATCTATTTTTGCCAAATATTGGATTTTCTTTTTAATATTGGCACATTGAACAATTGTAAAATGCTTTAGTCTTTTGATATATTTAATGGTGGATTTAAATATGGATTGTTTTGGGTATTGACATTAAGTGCAAATTGTTGGCATTTTAAATTATTGTTTAGTTAAAACCGTGGTCATTACAAGTTATATGTTATGTATGTGAATAATTGGGTAGCATTTGAGAGTTCATTTATTAGTTTATATATATATATATATATATATAGCTATCTACGTGGGGTTTCACACCTCATTAATAAAAGGGTTAAGTGCATTAAATCCCCTTCAACTTTCTTCTCTTTTCCAATAAACCCCCCTGAACTAAGTGAAGTACACTTAACTCCCTAAACTATTTCAATTGTTGCAAAACGTTATTGGGCCGGTTAAAATCTAACGTCCAAAGAAGGCACATGACTCATGTGACCAAGTTAAAATCAATAAAGACAAAAATAACCTTGAATGTGTAAAGTTTACTTATACACCAATGTATCGTCAACGAAGACTGAGAGGAACACACACACACGCACACGCACATATATATTACCTCCCTCTTTTCTCTTCAAACAACCAACAGCATCTGTCCATGGCCGTCACCTCCACCATCCGCCCATGGCCACCACCAACACCGCCACCCCCACAAAATATTTTTCCCTCACAACCACCTCACTGTCCACGGCCGATACCACAACCGCTCTCTCCCCAATCCACCTCCCTCTCTTTGGCCTCCAACTCTGGCAACAACAAGAACTTCAATACCGGTGACAAGTGGGTTTGTTCTGCAGCGGTAGTAACAGAGGTGTTCTGTGACAGCGAGCTTACCGGAGAACACAATGACTATTCACGATGGCGGCACTGAACCACATGGGCAGATGGCAGTGAGTTGAACTGAAACAGCGGTGGCAAGCGAGGATGAACCCACGGGACGGCGACGATTGTTCTTAACGATGGTCGCGGATCAGAACGGTGGCGGTAATGATTGTATGAGTCGTGAAGATTCAATGAATTACGGCAATGGTGGCGATGAATTTGGAAGATGCCGGTGAGCTTACCGATGAGCAATGGAACTGAACTGGATATGGAGATTTGAGATCGAGTCACCTGAATATTGAGATTTGAGAGCAAATGAGAAGGATATATTTGCTGAAAATCAATGGCGAACGAGAGAGGATTTGCTGAGACTGAAAATTAGGGCTTCAAATTTGGGGGTTCTTGTTAGCAATTTCTTGGGTTCGTTCTCAGCATATGATGCTTTCAATGGTGAAAATGATTTCTTTCTTTAAGCCAATTATGGATGTATGAGATTTTGATAGCAAAGACTACGAGAATGGTTCGGTTTTGAATGGTGCTTGGACTATAACTAATAATTAATCTTCCCTACTTTAAGAGTTTTATATTTGGGAAATGATTGTTCTTAGCATATTTCCAAGGTGCTATATGATAAACAATTTGCAGTGATTACTAAAGCTCTTTGAACCGTGAATTCAGATTAATTCCGTCGGAAAAAGGTCAACCGTCTATGTTTGCCGATCTCCGACCATAACAAATAAGATATTTATAGAGAGAGACATGCACCAAATCTGATCAATCCCAGTATACAACCTATTTAAATTTGAACCCATTTTGATATTTTGATGTTATTACTTCACAATTTCCTCTCATCTCCTTCAATTTCTTGTTGGCCCTAAGAAATACTATTGACGAGATGGACACAGAGAGGATGGTGGTGGTGGCTGCCGATAGAGAAGAATTACAATTATTATATATATAATTCTTTTGTCCACTTTAATAAAATAATTCTGAGTTGGCCAATTTTCATTGGACATAGAGAGTACAATTGTTACATCAGCCTATCAAAAAATAATAATAAAAATAAATTTTTTTTAAAAAAATAATAATTCAACACGAAGGGCTAAATGGTAATTTTTGTTTTTTTTTTAACGGCTCATTGACGGTTCTTGACTAAGTGCAACAAAATGATAGTTTAAGGGGTTTTACTTACTTCAGGGGGGTTTTTTGCAATCGGGTTATAGTTGAGGGGAGTTTGATGCACTTAACCCTTAATAAAATATATAAATGTATTAACAAGAGGTTAAATGTGTCATACATTAATTATTAACGCATGTACCTCATTAATTAATTATAAACGAGTGAATAAACTATTCGTTAATTAATTATTAATGAGATATCATATATCTTGTAAATTAATTATTAACGAGATGTCATTAGTCTCGTAAATTAATTACTAAAGAGTGGATAATTAACTCATTAATAAATTAATAACAAGATCTCATCTATTTAGTAACTATTTAGTAAATTAATTATTAACAAAACCTAAGCAATCTTGTTAAATAATTATTAACGAGAGATAATTATAAATTGATTATTAATGAAAGGCTAGGAACCTCGTAAATTAATGATTACGGATGCTAGATTTCTCATGCTTTACTTTTTTATGAGCTTTATTATTTCCCGTAGAAAGTTGAAAGTATTTACAGGACCTTAATAGATGAGTCTCAAAAGGGCCGTGAAAAAGTTTTCACGGGAGGTCCATACCCTCGTAAAAGACCTTTTTTTTTCCTTAAAGAGTAAGCTAACTCAACCTAAAGGGATTACAGGCAAGGTATGCCGGCACCGCATATGGTTGAGCTACTTAGGTCCCAAATGATCGTCGATGAGAGGCCATGAATAGTTAGCCAACTTTGCCTCTGATTGGTTTGTACGTGTTAGCCAGTTTTGATATGAGTTGTGTGTATAGATGATGTCGAAAGGGTGCATATCATGGCATAATGCATGATTGTTGTCTTGATGTTCATTTTGTTGATTTATTCATTGCATGATCCATATTACTTTCTATTCCGTTTACCCACCCGTTGCATGATCCATTCATTCGTTCTACATCTTCTTTGATGTGTTGCTTAGGGGACTTAAGAATATGTGTTTTAGGCATCTCTACTGGGCGAGTATCGCTCATTCCTTTAACATTTTCAGGTTCCATAAAGGAAGTGGAAGAGAATCCACACCCTATGAGCTTAAACATGGATAGACTAGCTTTTGGTTTTTGATGCCTCTAGCATGTACTAGTGGTTGCTCTTTTTTTTTTTTTTTTTTTTGAGTTTCTCAAGGTGTATAGGACTAACTATTCTACCTTATCTATTTTGATGGTCTTTATGTACCTTGGGATGTAAATTTTAACTTTGTATTCATTTTGAGAACTCCATGCGTATGGGAGAACTTGAGTATGTACAAAGGAATATAAGTTTTATATTCAATTTGGTTGTTTTGTGTAAATCCTTATGGTATCTATGTTGAATTCCATTTTCAGGATGTTGAAAGCAAGTTTTTGAGCACCTTAAATGGCCATAATTGGGACCAAGGGGGTACCCATGGCCTTGAGCACCCTAAAATGACCTATTAAAGCCAATTATAGCCTACTAGCCAAGTGGAACCGGTTTCGCCCATGAGGACCGGTTTCATTGCATTTATGGGTTTCGAATTTGGGCTACTGCCCTTACAGAACCGATTGTGTTTGGGCGCAATCAGTTGCGCTGATTGCGCCCTCTTACCAGACCACTGTTATGCTACTCGAATTTCAAACCTTCATATCTCCTTCATTTTAAATTCAAATGTGGTCAAATTTATGCTCAAACTAACCGTCTTGAAGTCCGATTGCTAGTGGTACCAACCTCATTCAAATATTCCAACCATAGAGTAAGTTATACCCATTTTAGTGAAGACTTGTGGTCATAAAATCTCCTAAACCGATGAGGCCTATTTGCAGGAAAACCATCATACCAGTAATTGGAACCTCGTGGAATATTTTTAATCGGTTAAGATGACTAGAATAAACCTCATTTGATTCACTTAGAGTTAACCCATCCTCTATCCTTGTCATGAAATGATCATTTTACACGCAGTATTGTATTTGGGCTCGAGCAAGAGCCATCGAGCCCGATTTGCATCCTTTCCGGTTCATGACTCGGATCCTACGAATTTGGGTGGTAACAGAATGAAGAATGAAGGGGCTTTTATTACATCATATCAAGAGCAAAATTGACATTTCGTATTTTTACGGTATACGTCAGTAATGATGCATGCATTCGGTTAAATAAAGGAAGGGGTGTAATAGTAAAAACATCTAAAAATAGGGGGTGTGAGGGTTATTTTTTAGAAAATTTTTAACCTATGGGTAAAAAAGAAAAACTTGGACGGTGTTAGAGCAATCTATTTTGAAATTGAACATTTCGCATAATGGGCCACGTACCCTAATATGCCATTACAAATTTACAATAGATAAAGCATGCTTAATCCGTTGTAGTGATCTTTTGCATCACAACCTAAAAATTGGCAAAGCAAGGTCTGTAGCATTAAAATCTTGGCTTGACCTTGATTGGAAGTCCCATGGATGGATATGGCATCGGTTGACGGGTGATCACTTCATTAGGGTGGACTGGTGACCATTCATACATTGTTACCAGCCTATGGATTGTGGTTAGAGTTTCAACCCTAGCAAACTCATTTCCAATACAACTGTGAAGTCCTCCTCCAAATGCTATATAAGCATAGGGAGGAATTGCTTTGGATGGATTCTCAAATCGAGATGGATCAAACTCTGTGGGGTTGTCAAAGATGTCCTTGTTCATGTGAGTGCCACAGGAGGCCCAAAATAGCTGCAAAAAATCATTTAGTTTGAATATGTGTAACACACCGATAGTGACATAATTCACTTATATAAATTCACTTTTATCAATGGTTAGTAGGAATTACCTACTCACTGGTGAGTAGGTAAGTAATCAGGGGTAGAGTCAGGATTTCAATTCAGGGGCATAATGGCACAAAAAATAAAATAATAAAATAAAATAATATTAATAATAATAATAATTAAAGAAAAAGAAAATAAGGATGACACAACTTTGAAAAGTGAAATATTTAGAGCAGGATTGAAGCGAAGAAATTTACTTTTTGAAAGAAATTAAAGGAAGTTAAAGTGAGAAAGAGGAAAATAAGAAAAAAATAAAAATAATTTTTGAAACAAAGGTAATTTTAGGGTGCATTATATATATATATA